ATTTTAAACAATAAAAGGCTTGAACTACTTCAGTTGGTGTGCAATGAATCTAAAATATATGAAAGTTTAATGTTCATCAGTACATTACAGAAAATAATGAACTTTATCCCAATATGCTAGTTTTTGAGAAGGACCTGTAATAAAAGTATCTGGCGGGGGGAAAAGGCATTAGTAGTACAAGACTGGAAAAGTATTTTTAGCTGGTGTTACTGGATAAGAAAGGGAAATAAGTTTAGTTGGGACTCAAAGTGGAGGTGAAGGAGGGGGGCAGAGAGAGAGTGGAGCCTGGCCTCTCGATGAGTGGGAGGGGTACCTTAGTCTCTGAGGTCCAGCTGATTGTGCCCGAGTTCTTCATCTTCCAGTATTTGATGAACTTGGTATCAGGCTCCAGACGGGTGCCATCAGGCAGATTTTCATCCAGAAACAAGGCAGCCATAGTGGGCACCAAGGACGTGTGCGAGACCCCGGGACCCCTAGTTTCAAGTGTACAGAGCATTGTTGAAAAAAAGCCCTGGTCTCTTATCACACGCATCTCTTTTGTTTCTCTATGAATCAAAAAAAAAAAAAAAAAAGGGCAGGACCCCCAGTATTTTTTGCTTTCAGCTCAAAAACATTTGTTTTAGAAAATCTAGGAAGCAGCAGCAGCAGTTTTCACACTGAGGTAGTTCCAACATTTGCCACCACCCCCGAGCAGCCAGCGAAACACTCACACAAACTAGAATACAAAGATGGCATATTTTGATTTCTTTTCTTGGAAAAAAAAACACAAAAAAAAGAGAGAGAGATTTTTTTTTTTTTGCATCCATGCTGGGTTAGAGGTACCCAGCACTGTCGGACACTCTTCCGAGATGGCGCTTACTCTGGACTGGAGTCCTGGGGGTCGGGGAGCGGGACTGAGATGGGGCCTTGGACTGTGGCTGTTTCTGAGGCGACAGGAGGGGACACGGCTGGGACCTGGATGGACGCTGAGGCCACGCTTGTCAAGTTGGCTCTGCCTGAGGTAGAGGGTCCGCTCCACTGCAGCCCCCTCTTCTCCAGTCTCAGTTTCTTCTTGATTTCCTTCACCTCTGCTCTCAGCTGCCTTCTTTCAGCTTTGAGGCGCTGTCGCTCGGCCTTGCGCACAGTTCTGTCTCCTCGCCTCGGGAACCTGGTTTGAAATGTCATCAGGAACACCTATTTGTCGACTATCAAAAGTTTATTTTTCAAAAAACAAAAACAAAACAAAACATCCCCACTCATTTTATGAATTACAGTTATTTTCCTTTATTAAATGTAGTTTTTATATGTATAAATATATGACAGGAAAAAAAAAAAGAATTAGCATTCCTATGAGCCATAATGTCAAATTATGTCTAGAAGAAGATGGGTGATCCTCAGTTTGGAAGGTTTACCTAAACTCTCCTGACATTCCGTGCTCGGGGATGGAGAGAGGCGTCTTGGTTCTGACGAGGCTGTGACTCGGATCGTGGCTGTGTCTGCACATCTCACACAGGATGCAGGATGGACACACACTGGAAACAAAAAACAAAGAGACTGTAAGGAGCTAAATTATGATAACTCTGCTACTACCACATCAAATAATACATCAATATCTGGAAAACTAAGTTATAGTCTTATATAGTTATAGCCTTCATATACATTCATTTTTGTTCTGTAATTTACAGTGTATATATGTATATAAATATGCACGTGTTTATGTATATGTGTATACGTGCACTGGTATATGTACATTACTATATATCGTGTATATTGTGGGGTTTTTGTTTGTAATCTTTTATTTATCTTTCATTATTCTTCTCAGCCTCTCTTATATTAAGCTGCTGTAATGTGCTTATTTCCCCACTGTGGGATCAATAAAGTTTTATCTTATCTTATCTTAGTCATTTTGTGTTTAAAGTCAAATGGAAGTGGCGGCCATCTTGAATCAGATTGACTCCAAAAGTTAAGGAGTTGTAAATGATTCATTCATTCATTCATTCATTCATTCATTCATTCATTCATTCA